GACAGGTTGTTGCATTTGCTAAGAGAAATAAAATAAAATATGAAATATTTATGTAGCATACTTTAGGATGTTTTGGTTTTTATCGATAACATTAAAAACTTTATGATATGACTCAATCACTTGCTAAATAAAGAGGAATATTCGATGGGACGAATAATACCACCAAATTTGATTGATGTGTTATTTGAAATTCGGATAATTCGGATAATTTATCATATTTTTATCGTTAAACTTAAAAACAGAGTACAAATTTTGAAAATTTTATCGTTAAAAACAGTATGCTTCGGGTTGCAAAAAAATTATTATTATTATTATTATGTACATACGTACTTATTACTTTTTAATAAAAATAATTCATGATATTTTTTTATCCCTCAATTCGAATTTTTTTACTTTTAATAATATTGATTATGAATATTTAAAATACACATTCTTATTTATTTTTGGTACTTTTTCATTCTTTAAATGGTACTTTTTGATTTATCATTAATAAAGTTTGTTTCCTTTATATATGAATTTCAAAACCGCTCTGATTAATTTCTAGACTAATAAATGGATTATTCCACAGAATGGTCCATGGACTACAGACTATATAGTCTAGTCTAGTCTATATATAGTCTATAGTCTAGTCTATAGTCCAGTCTATAGTAGGGTTCTATAAATCGACTTTCGAATAATCGAACAATCGACTTTTTGTCGAAAACGTCGAAAAGTCGACTATTTTGTTCCAAAAAAGTCGATAACTCGACTATCGTCTGTGAAAACAGTCGAAAAGTCGTCTTTGTTAATAAAAGTCGAAAAGTCTGAAAGTCGGAAAGTCGGAAAGTCGAAAAGTCGAATAAAGTCGAAAAAAGTCAAAAAGTCGTAAAAAGTCGAAAAAAGTCGAAAAGTCGTAAAAAGTCCAAAAGTCGGAAAAAGTCGAAAAAAGTCGGAAAAAGTCGAAAAGTCAAAAACTCGAAAATTATAGAAAAAAGTAAAAAATAGTCGGAAATTTTAAAAAAGTGGAAAAAAGTCAAAAACTCTAAAATAGTCGGAAAAACTCGAAAAAAGTCGAAAAGTCGACTATTTACAAAATATTTATAGTCGAAAAGTCAAAATGTCGACTTTTAATTAATAGAAAAAAGTCGAAAAGTCGAAAAATCGACTTTTCATAAAATGCAAAAGGTCGAAAAGTCTAGTCTATAGTCTAGTCTATAGTTTAGTCTATAGTCTAGTCTATAGTCTAGTCTATAGTCTAGTCTATAGTCTAGTCTATAGTCTAGTCTATAGTCTAGTCTATAGTCTAGTCTATAGTCTAGTCTATAGTCTAGTCTATAGTCTAGTCTATAGTCTAGTCTATAGTATAGTCTATAGTCTAGTCTATAGTCTAGTCTATAGTCTAGTCTATAGTCTAGTCTATAGTCTAGTCTATAGTCTAGTCTATAGTCTAGTCTATAGTCTAGTCTATAGTCTAGTCTATAGTGTAGTCTATAGTCTAGTCTATAGTCTAGTCTATAGTCTAGTCTATAGTCTAGTCTATAGTCTAGTCTATAGTCTAGTCTATTCTAGTCTATAGTCTAGTCTATAGTCTAGTCTATAGTCTAGTCTATAGTCTAGTCTATAGTCTAGTCTATAGTCTAGTCTATAGTCTAGTCTATAGTCTAGTCTATAGTCTAGTCTATAGTCTAGTCTATAGTCTAGTCTATAGTCTAGTCTATAGTCTAGTCTATAGTCTAGTCTATAGTCTAGTCTATAGTCTAGTCTATAGTCTAGTCTATAGTCTAGTCTATAGTCTAGTCTATAGTCTAGTCTATAGTCTAGTCTATAGTCTAGTCTATAGTCTAGTCTATAGTCTAGTCTATAGTCTAGTCTATAGTCTAGTCTATAGTCTAGTCTATAGTCTAGTCTATAGTCTAGTCTATAGTCTAGTCTATAGTCTAGTCTATAGTCTAGTCTATAGTCTAGTCTATAGTCTAGTCTATAGTCTAGTCTATAGTCTAGTCTATAGTCTAGTCTATAGTCTAGTCTATAGTCTAGTCTATAGTCTAGTCTATAGTCTAGTCTATAGTCTAGTCTATAGTCTAGTCTATAGTCTAGTCTATAGTCTAGTCTATAGTTTAGTCTATAGTCTAGTCTATAGTCTAGTCTATAGTCTAGTCTATAGTCTAGTCTATAGTCTAGTCTATAGTCTAGTCTATAGCCTAGTCTATAGTCTAGTCTATAGTCTAGTCTATAGTCTAGTCTATAGTCTAGTCTAGTCTATAGTCTAGTCTAGTCTATAGTCTAGTCTAGTCTATAGTCTAGTCTAGTCTATAGTCTAGTCTATAGTCTAGTCTATAGTCTAGTCTATAGTCTAGTCTATAGTCTAGTCTATAGTCTAGTCTATAGTCTAGTCTATAGTCTAGTCTATAGTCTAGTCTATAGTCTAGTCTATAGTCTAGTCTATAGTCTAGTCTATAGTCTAGTCTATAGTCTAGTCTATAGTCTAGTCTATAGTCTAGTCTAGTCTATAGTCTAGTCTATAGTCTAGTCTATAGTCTAGTCTATAGTCTAGTCTATAGTCTAGTCTAGTCTATAGTCTAGTCTATAGTCTAGTCTATAGTCTAGTCTATAGTCTAGTCTATAGTCTAGTCTATAGTCTAGTCTATAGTCTAGTCTATAGTCTAGTCTATAGTCTAGTCTATTCTATAGTCTAGTCTATAGTCTAGTCTATAGTCTAGTCTATAGTCTAGTATATAGTCTAGTCTATAGTCTAGTCTATAGTCTAGTCTATAGTCTAGTCTATAGTCTAGTCTATAGTCTAGTCTATAGTCTAGTCTATAGTCTAGTCTATATAGTCTAGTCTATAGTCTAGTCTATAGTCTAGTCTATAGTCTAGTCTATAGTCTAGTCTATAGTCTAGTCTATAGTCGTCTATAGTCTAGTCTATAGTCTAGTCTATAGTCTAGTCTATAGTCTAGTCTATAGTCTAGTCTATAGTCTAGTCTATAGTCTAGTCTATAGTCTAGTCTATAGTCTAGTCTATAGTCTAGTCTATAGTCTAGTCTATAGTCTAGTCTATAGTCTAGTCTATAGTCTAGTCTATAGTCTAGTCTATAGTCTAGTCTATAGTCTAGTCTATAGTCTAGTCTATAGTCTAGTCTATAGTCTAGTCTATAGTTTAGTCTATAGTCTAGTCTATAGTCTAGTCTATAGTCTAGTCTATAGTCTAGTCTATAGTCTAGTCTATAGTCTAGTCTATAGTCTAGTCTATAGTCTAGTCTATAGCCTAGTCTATAGTCTAGTCTATAGTCTAGTCTATAGTCTAGTCTATAGTCTAGTCTATAGTCTAGTCTATAGTCTAGTCTAGTCTATAGTCTAGTCTAGTCTATAGTCTAGTCTAGTCTATAGTCTAGTCTAGTCTATAGTCTAGTCTAGTCTATAGTCTAGTCTATAGTCTAGTCTATAGTCTAGTCTATAGTCTAGTCTATAGTCTAGTCTATAGTCTAGTCTATAGTCTAGTCTATAGTCTAGTCTATAGTCTAGTCTATAGTCTAGTCTATAGTCTAGTCTATAGTCTAGTCTATAGTCTAGTCTATAGTCTAGTCTATAGTCTAGTCTAGTCTATAGTCTAGTCTATAGTCTAGTCTATAGTCTAGTCTATAGTCTAGTCTATAGTCTAGTCTATAGTCTAGTCTATAGTCTAGTCTATAGTCTAGTCTATAGTCTAGTTCTAGTCTATAGTCTAGTCTACTATGTCTAGTCTAGTCTAGTCTAGTCATAGTCTATAGGTCTAGTCTATAGTCTAGTCTATAGTCTAGTCTATAGTTAGTCTATAGTCTAGTCTATAGTCTAGTCTATAGTCTAGTCTATAGTCTAGTCTATAGTCAGTCTATAGTCTAGTCTATAGGTCTAGGTCTATAGTCTAGTCTATAGTCTAGTCTATAGTCTAGTCTATAGTCTACGTCTATAGTCTAGTCTATAGTCTAGTCTATAGTCTAGTCTATTAGTAGTCTAGTCTATAGTCTAGTCTATAGTCTAGTCTATATCTAGTCTAAGTCTAGTCTATAGTCTAGTCTATAGTCTAGTCTATAGGTCTAGTCTATAGTCTAGTCTAAGTCTAGTCTATAGTCTAGTCTATAGTCTAGTCTATAGTCTAGTCTATAGTCTAGTCTATAGTCTAGTCTATAGTCTAGTCTATAGTCTAGTCTATAGTCTAGTCTATAGTCTAGTCTATAGTCTCGTCTATAGTCTAGTCTATAGTCTAGTCTATTAGGTCTAGTCTATAGTCTATAGTCTAGTCTATAGTCTAGTCTATATTGTCTATAGTCTCTATAGTCTAGTCTATAGTCTAGTCTATAGTCTAGTCTATAGTCTAGTCTATAGTCTAGTCTATAGTCTAGTCTATAGTCTAGTCTATAGTCTAGTCTATAGTCTAGTCTATAGTCTAGTCTATAGTCTAGTCTATAGTCTAGTCTATAGTCTAGTCTATCTAGTCTAGTCTAGTTTATAGTCTAGTTTATAGTCTAGTCTATAGTCTAGTCTATAGTCTAGTCAATAGACGAGTTTATAGTCTAGTCTATAGTATAATCTATAGTCTAGTCTAGTCTATAGACTAGTCTATAGGTTAGTCCATAGTTTAGTCTTTAGTCTATGCTATAGTCTAGTCTATGGTCTATTCTATAGTCTAATCTAAAGTTATTTAGAAAATTACAAAATTTACAGGTTTTGATGAAATTTTACAATTTCCACCGGATTTGATGAAAAAATGTTGACAACACTGGATATGAACAAAAACCTAAACAAATCTAGAAAACAAAATGGAAACAGTGTATATGCTCTTTATTTACTCAAGTAAGAGCATATTTTGGAAAAGCAAACTCTCTGTAGAAAAAGTTAAACTCTTACACAAGAAAAACAAACAAACAAAAACATATTTAAGAGTTTGTTTAGCAAAACTTTAGGAGTGGAGGGGGGTTTAATAAAAAGTTTTATATTTATTTTTTTGCTAATTTGCCAAATACTCTGGTTTGTTCGTCGCTTGTCGTTGTTAGAGCAGGACGTACGTACGGATACAAATTTTTAAACGGATATAAAACGTGTTTCAAATAATTTTATTTTTCAAAATATAGTAAATGAAGAAAAAAATAAAAGAAATGAAAATAAATTTATAAAAATAAATTATTTATTTAAATAAAAAGTTTTTGTTTATTTTTTAAAAAAATCTTATATTGAAGAAAATAATAATAATTATTTTGAATGAAAAGTGAAAAATAATATATAAATGAAAAATATTTAGTTGAAGATATAAAAAAGAAAATAATTAATAAATTTATTTAAATAAATAAGTAAAGTTTGGGTGTTTAGTTTTTTTTTATAACAAATTTTTAGCAAGGAATGTTTTTCTACAACAACAAATATTTATACATACAAGAAAACCAACAATTATATGGGGAATAGAATTTCCTTTTACAAAGCAGAGAAGAGCCAGGGGGGAGAAGTTCTAAAATAAAACCACTACAAAGCCATAACAAACAAATCCTGTATTATGGTTGTTGTTGTTGTAAGCCCAGCATATACAAACATACTTAATACAAAGAGAGCCTTTAGGCAAAAACCACCTTCTGCAGAATAGCTGCAGAATAGCAAGAACAACAAAAACAAAGTACAAGTTGAATGAATGTTGAAAATAAATGAAAACAAATAATCATAATAAAATAAACACACACAAACACATATGTATGTGACTCTGTGTATTTGGGGAGATCCCTTTGACAAACATTGTCTTACACACGCTCTAGTTTAAATAACAAAGAGTTGAAACGTCACTGTTATAGCAAAAACAACAACAAAAACGGTACGTGCAGACATGTAATAACGGGCGAAATACACGTAAACGGAAATAGCTTTAAAAAAAACCAAACAAAAATGGTTTTACTCTTCGCTCTCACACTTGCATATCCCTAAGCAACAACAAAACATAATTAAACTGAAAAAAAAAAGAGAATCTGAGCAAAAGAGCTTAAAAAGAGTAAAATATATTTGAATGTAACGGTTTAAACTAGAGAAAATTTTCATTAAAAAAAACAAGTGCGCGCGCAAATTACAGTAAAAAACACGAAAAACAACGACTACAATAAAAACAATCAACAAAAAAAACCAAACAAACAATAGTATTTCCATGAATTCAACGAACTTTAAGAGAAAAGAGCAAAAGTAATGTGATAAATCAGGATTTATAAAATGTAAAAACTACAACAACAACTTACATTTACAACCAACAACAAAAGGGGTCAAACTAGGCAACTAAACATATCAACATAATTAAATAACAGAAAACCAATTTTTAAAATAAACCGGAAATAAAACTAAAACATTAAAATACACACTTAATTTAACTTGTAAGTTACATATAGGAAAACAAGGAGTTTAATAGTCAAGGACATCTATTTTTATAAAAAATACTCTCTTTCTACAGCTGGCTCCCACAGCACACACACCAACACCAAAACCATATTAACGTACTAAAAAAAAATACCAGGATATCACTCTCTACCATACACACACACACTGTTGCTTCCAGCTCTACCACTACTATAAAAGCATTATAAATTTTGTTGTCACAACAACAACACTTTTAATGGAAATCTACAATCTTCTTGTTATTTTTGAATTTGTGCAAAAAATTCACCAAAATATCAAGCAAATGTTAACAGGAATTCTATTGCATGGTCCTTAAAATTAAACTGTAATAACATTTATGTCCTTATAAAGGAAAATATTTTCACAATATTTTTCCTATTTATAAATAACACCCCAGCAATTGAGAGACGAGAAAAGCAGCTACAGCAATATTTTAAAATGGCACGACGCAAAGGCAGCAGTAGAGGAAGTAAGTATATTTCTAGTTAAATTGTTAGTTTAAGTTAAAGGAAGAAAATTATCTTAGGTTGAGATTCATATCCTAGTCAGGCCAAAAAAAACTTTCTGAATTTCAATGAAGCCTATAGTTTAATATATAGTGTAATCGATAGACTAGTCTATAGTCTAGTCTATAGTCTACAGTCTAGTCTATAGTATAGTCCATAGTCTAGTCTGTAGTTCAGTCTATAGTCTAGTCTAAAGTCTAGTCCATAGTCTAGTCTATAGGTTAGTCTATAGTTTAGTCTATAGTTTAGTCTATAGTCTAGTCTATAGTCTAGTTATAGTCTAGTTTATAGTCTAGTCTGTAGCCTAGTCTATAGTCTAGTCTATAGTCTAGTCTATAGTCTAGTCTATAGTCTAGTCTATAGTCTAGTCTATAGTCTAGTCTATAGTCTAGTCTATAGTCTAGTCTAGTCTATAGTCTAGTCTATAGTCTAGTCTATAGTCTAGTCTATAGTCTAGTCTATAGTCTAGTCTAGTCTATAGTCTAGTCTATAGTCTAGTCTATAGTCTAGTCTATAGTCTAGTCTATAGTCTAGTCTATAGTCTAGTCTATAGTCTAGTCTATAGTCTAGTCTATAGTCTAGTCTATAGTCTAGTCTATAGTCTAGTCTATAGTCTAGTCTATAGTCTGGTCTATAGTCTAGTCTATAGTCTAGTCTATAGTCTAGTCTATAGTCTAGTCTATAGTCTAGTCTATAGTCTAGTCTATAGTCTAGGCTATAGTCTAGTCTATAGTCTAGTCTATAGTCTAGTCTATAGTATAGTCTATAGTCTAGTCTATAGTCTAGTCTATAGTATAGTCTATAGTCTACAGTCTAGTCTATAGTATAGTCCATAGTCTAATCTGTAGTCCAGTCTATAGTCTAGTCTAAAGTCTAGTCCATAGTCTAGTCTATAGTTTAGTCTATAGTTTAGTCTATAGTTTAGTCTATAGTTTAGTCTATAGTTTAGTCTATAGTTTAGTCTATAGTTTAGTCTATAGTTTAGTCTATAGTTTAGTCTATAGTCTAGTCTATAGTCTAGTTTATAGTCTAGTTTATAGTCTAGTCTGTAGCCTAGTCTATAGTCTAGTCTATAAACTAGTCTGTACCCTAGTCTATAGTCTAGTCTATAGTCTAGTCTATAGTCTAGTCTATAGTCTAGTCTATAGTCTAGTCTATAGTCTAGTCTATAGTCTAGTCTATAGTCTAGGCTATAGTCTAGTCAATAGTCTAGTCTATAGTCTAGTCTATAGTATAGTCTAGTCTATAGTATAGTCTATAGTCTAGTCTATAGTCTAGTATATAGTCTAGTCTATAGTATAGTCTATAGTCTAGTCTATAGTCTAGTCTATAGTCTAGTCTATAGTCTAGTCTATAGTCTAGTATATAGTCGAGTTTATAGTCTAGTCTATAGTATAGTCTATAGTATAGTCTATAGTCTAGTCTATAGTTTAGTCCATAGTCTAGTCTATAGCCTAGTTATAGTCTAAAATAATTCTATTGAAACTGCAAAATCGGTGTTACTAGAGGAACCAGTTTGTATCGTAAAATTTCTATAATTTAATTAAAAAAAACATAATTAAATTTATGACATGTTCAAAAACAAAAAATAACTGCAGAAAATAATTATTTTCACAAAAACAAAGAAACTGAAAAACTTCATCATACAAATAAAACTTTAGGATGAAAAGAAAGTTCTTCACTGAAAAACTTACTCACAAAACATAAATAACAAAATTTCAGCTTTATGCGATAAATAAAGGAAAAAAGAATAAATAAAATCTTATATGTATATAAATATTTTGACGTTAAAACATTTACAAAGTTCAGACATACACACACACATACACAAAGCCACAAAAGTAAAGGAACAAACAAAAGCAACAAAAATATTAAAACTCAACTGAACTTGTTCTTTAAACAGAATCTAACAAAAGTACTTGTTATTTTTTGAACCAGACTTCATAGTTATGTTCATTAGTGCGGTTCCATTATTGCCAAAATAAAGGACTCCGATCTGTTTCATTAACATTTTTTATTATTTTGATTTTTGCTCTAAATTACTGAGAAAATTCTGTTGATTAGTTTTTTCTATTGGTTCATATGAAAGGTAACCCCCTAATGTAAATACATATACATACATAGATGTGCTTCTATATAAAAAACTGTTGTATTTGTTGCCTTTATTGTTTCTCTGTTTTATAAAAGTTACGTTTAATGCTTTTACTTATAGTGAATGTACATACATAGATATGAATGGGGAAACTCTATGTATGTTTGTGCACGTACCCCACACCCCAAATATTGGGGATTCCCTTACGTAATACACATACATATTTATACTTATAATATAAAACAAAATATTATATGAATGTATATATTCGAACTTGCCAATACCCTACACCAGCTATGAATGACTTATAAGAGATTTTTTAAAGTCCTATTATGGATAAATTTTCAGGAAATTTTAATAATTTATACAGAATTTTAATTTAATTTTGCTAAGTTCTGCTGTTAGTTCTGTAATTTTCTCAATGCACAACCCTGACTTCGAAACTCTTGTAGAAATACAAGTACACACTGGTACGTATACTTAATACAGCAACAAGGTACACACAAAGCCAACATTAGGTCAAAAAAAAAAAAAAAAAAAACAAAATAAATAAAATTAAAACTCGTAATAGATGAAAGGAAATGTAAGAGACCAACAACAACAAGTTATCAAAATAAATAAATACAAACAAAAAACATCATCAAAAGCAACAACAACACCCATAGGCGGCACTAAAACAGAACTATAAGAGAACTATAACAGAACTACAACAGAACTACAACAGAACTAGAACAGAACTAGAACAGAACTAGAACAGAACTAGAACAGAACAGAACAAGAACAGAACTAGAACAGAACTACAACAGAACTAGAACAGAACTAGAACAGAACTAGAACAGAACTAGAACAGAACTAGAACAGAACTAGAACAGAACTAGAACAGAACTAGAACAGAACTAGAACAGAACTAGAACAGAACTAGAACAGAACTAGAACAGAACTAGAACAGAACTAGAACAGAACTAGAACAGAACTAGAACAGAACTAGAACAGAACTAGAACAGAACTAGAACAGAACTAGAACAGAACTAGAACAGAACTAGAACAGAACTAGAACAGAACTAGAACAGAACTAGAACAGAACTAGAACAGAACTAGAACAGAACTAGAACAGAACTAGAACAGAACTAGAACAGAACTAGAACAGAACTAGAACAGAACTAGAACAGAACTAGAACAGAACTAGAACAGAACTAGAACAGAACTAGAACAGAACTAGAACAGAACTAGAACAGAACTAGAACAGAACTAGAACAGAACTAAAACAGAACTAGAACTGATAAGTTCTTATTTTACAGAGCTGTCGATAGTTTTAAACTAACTAGTGTTTAAAGTGTACATTAAATTCATATATAAACATATAAGAAAAATACCGTTAAAGTACATCACCCACAATTGCCCACTATTTCTCTTACACTCGTTCTATCCTACTCCAGCTTGCTCCCTTTTGCTATAACGAAAAACATTACATTGAAAATATTTGTGTGCCATAGAACTTGCAATTGTTGGCATCATGAACTGTGTAGTATTTTTTGCTTTTTTTTGTTCTTCTTCTACTTCTTGTTAAACTTTTGCTGCCTACAGTCATGGAAAAATGAAAACACCAGTTGAAATAAAAAATAAAAACATTCATTCATTCTCTCCTCATACTTGCGGCATGTTTTACTTTAAATTTCCCTATAATTTCAGAATAGGTTGTGCTATTTAAAATGGGGCTTTGGTTGGTGTTATAAGTTAATATTATTTTAATATAAAAAGGATGTTCAAGGTATTTTGATTTGTAAATACAGCTGTTTGATTATAAATAAACTACATAATTCCTGATAGGTATTCACTTAAATAAAAATATAAGTTTATTTTGAATTATGAAATTTCAATGGAAATCTACTTTCAAATAAAATTTTATAAAATAAATACTACTATTATTTAAATCGTATAATAATAACAAAAATTCAAGTTATTTAAAATAAATTTAGCATTAATTTGATATTTTATTAATTTTTCTCAGTAACTACTAATGTGAATTTTTACTGAAAATTAAATTTTTACAATTATTTAATAACCAAAAAAGCTTACTATACAAAATTGTTTAAAATTAAATACAATCTAAATTAAAAAGAAAATGCTTTAAATATTTTTGGAATTTTTTGTTAAGCAAATTATACTCATACCTCACTAAACAAATACATTTACAGATCTCCCCTTTTTAAATAAGATTTTTATATCTACTAAACAGAACGTACCTTTTCCTAAATCAAAAGGGTAAAGAAAGTTCGCCTCTTACCAATAACAAAAACTTTTATGTTTTTCATTACAAAAAATAATATCTAAATCGTGTCTTACAAAGTCAAACGAGTAAAAAAGTTTTATTTTCTACATTATTATTCTACTTATAGAAAACTTCCTTTTAAACTAGCAGGCAAAAACAAAAAAAAAACCCAGACCCTTTTTCCTCTCCTTTGTATTTTATACTACAAAAACACACATTTATATTTCTTTTGCTATCTTCCTTAATCTCTATGTGTCCTTTGTCTAAGTTACTCTCTAGTTTTGTTGCTATTGGTATTTTTTCTTTTTTTTCTCGATTTAAATGTTTTTGTAATTGTTGAATTTGTTTTATGTAAATATACATACATGCATATACATACATATATACAAGTTGTTCTCATTTCTTTTTTTTTTCACTCTCTGCTTCACCCTCCAGTTATTTACCGTTATCCTAGTTCACCTCACTTTAAACACCCACTCTTTCAGAAACAACAAGAATGACTGTACACACACACACAAGCAAGCACTTGTACAGTCATTCACTTACCAGAACACACTTTTAAAAGCCAGGCAAGTGGGACTATATGGTACCTTACATCTATACTTAGTCATAGTTCAGTTTTAGTTCAATTCTAGTTCAGATCGGTTCGGTTATAGTTCAGTTATAGTTCAGTTCTAGTTCAGTTCTAGTTCAGTTCTAGTTCAGTTCTAGTTCAGTTCTAGTTCAGTTCTAGTTCAGTTCTAGTTCAGTTCTAGTTCAGTTCTAGTTCAGTTCTAGTTCAGTTCTAGTTCAGTTCTAGTTCAGTTCTAGTTCAGTTCTAGTTCAGTTCTAGTTCAGTTCTAGTTCAGTTCTAGTTCAGTTCTAGTTCAGTTCTAGTTCAGTTCTAGTTCAGTTCTAGTTCAGTTCTAGTTCAGTTCTAGTTCAGTTCTAGTTCAGTTCTAGTTCAGTTCAAGTTCAGTTCTAGTTCAGTTCTAGTTCAGTTCTAGTTCAGTTCTAGTTCTAGTTCAGTTCTAGTTCAGTTCTAGTTCAGTTCTAAATCAGTTCTAAATCAGTTCTAAATCAGTTCTAGTCCAGTTCTAGTTCAGTTCTAGTTCAGTTCTAGTTCAGTTCTAGTTCAGTTCTAGTTCAGTTCTAGTTCAGTTCTAGTTCAGTTCTAGTTCAGTTCTAGTTCAGTTCTAGTTCAGTTCTAGTTCAGTTCTAGTTCAGTTCTAGTTCAGTTCTAGTTCAGTTCTAGTTCAGTTCTAGTTCAGTTCTAGTTCAGTTCTAGTTCAGTTCTAGTTCAGTTCTAGTTCGGTTCTAGTTCAGTTCTAGTTCAGTTCTAGTTCAGTTCTAGTTCAGTTCTAGTTCAGTTCTAGTTCAGTTCTAGTTCAGTTCTAGTTCAGTTCTAGTTCAGTTCTAGTTCAGTTCTAGTTCAGTTCTAGTTCAGTTCTAGTTCAGTTCTAGTTCAGTTCTAGTTCAGTTCTAGTTCAGTTCTAGTTCAGTTCTAGTTCAGTTCTAGTTCTAGTTCTAGTTCTGTTCTAGTTCTAGTTCTAGTTCTAGTTCTGTTCTGTTCTGTTCTGTTCTAGTTCAGTTCTAGTTTAGTTCTAGTTTAGTTCTAGTTCAGTTCTATTTCAGTTCTAGTTTAGTTCTAGTTTAGTTCTAGTTCAGTTCTAGTTTAGTTCTGGTTTAGTTCTAGTTAAGTTCTAGTTTAGTTCTAGTTTGGTTCTAGTTTAGTTCTAGTTCAGTTCTATTTCAGTTATAGTTCAGTTCTAGTATGAGTAATATTAATTTAGAAATCATAAACATTCATCATACGTTGGCATAGTTCTTATTTGTATTTATAATTTAGCTAAACAACCCACAGTGTCTGCAATACCTACTTCCTTACATTATTTAATAACATTTTATTGTTGCTGTAGTTTTTCTTGTACTTTCTATTTTCTTCTTGCTCCTGGCCTGAAATTGTGTTTGTATCAGTTTATTTGTTTTTGTTGTTTATTTCTTTTTACGTCATTTGAGTGTGTAAAAGTGTATTTATATCTTTGTATAAACTTTGAGTTCTCTCTACTTTTGCTTTGGCAAGGATTTACAATATATTTGTTGTTGCTGCCGCTTTTATGATTCTAATTTGAACTTAAGCATGCCAACAACAACAAAAGTAACAACTAAGTATAACAACAAAAAACATAAAGCAATGTCGACATACTTTACAAAAAAAAAGAGGGAAAAATAAAAATACAAATTTACCTCTTACAACATTTTACTTTATGGCTTCGTCCTTTGTTTTCCATAGTTTCTGCTCCCATTCCTGGTCCATTTAAACAAAGTTGTTTTTTCCGAATTAAAAAGTATGAAAATATAGAAGAAGATAAACAAAAAAGTTATTGTAAAAAGTTTGACAAAGGATATAAATATGTTGGGAAAATATAAGAGTGTTTTTGCATTTATAAATTTTTACTTTTCATAAAGTGTAATTTTATATTTAGAATTTTAAAACTATTTAGTTACAGTTTTACTTTTTCATATTCATAATTTATATGAATTGCTACTATTGACTACTTATTCCTATTAAAATAACTCAATTCATATTCAAAAAATGTTATTTATTTTAAATTGTTGATTTTCAGCTCTGAGTCATAATACGAATATAAACAATAAATTGTTATTAAATTATGAAATAAAAAGTCATTGTACAAATAGAAAAAAAATGTGAATAATTGTAGCTTTTAAATAATGATTAGATAAACACTAACTATAGTGTATAAATGTATAAATTTAATGCGTATTTGTTCTTTGTCGGGGTAGTGTGAAAACATACTGCTAAAACAAAAACAATGTATATTTTCTACTTAAATACATTTAATTAAAATAGGAAAATAAATTATAAATTGTTGCAGCCTATAGTAGATTTCAGTTGAAAAACTAATAACATACAAAGAGTTTAGTTCTATCTCAGTTCTGCCTCTGTTCTAGTTCAGTTCTAGTTCAGTTCTAGTTCAGTTCTAGTTCAGTTCTAGTTCAGTTCTAGTTCAGTTCTAGTTCAGTTCTAGTTCAGTTCTAGTTCAGTTCAGTTCTAGTTGTTCTAGTTAAGTTCTAGTTAAGTTCTAGTTCAGTTCTAGTTTAGTTCTAGTTCAGTTCTAGTTCAGTTCTAGTTCAGTTCTAGTTCAGTTCTAGTTCAGTTCTAGTTCAGTTCTAGTTCAGTTCTAGTTCAGTTCTAGTTCAGTTCTAGTTCAGTTCTAGTTCAGTTCTAGTTCAGTTCTAGTTCAGTTCAGTTCTTTCAGTTCAGTTCAGTTCAGTTCTAGTTCAGTTCTAGTTCAGTTCTAGTTCAGTTCTAGTTCAGTTCTAGTTCAGTTCTAGTTCAGTTCTAGTTCAGTTCTAGTTCAGTTCTAGTTCAGTTCTAGTTCAGTTCAGTTCTAGTTCAGTTCTAGTTCAGTTCTAGTTCAGTTCTAGTTCAGTTCTAGTTCAGTTCTTTCAGTTCTAGTTCAGTTCTAGTTCAGTTCTAGTTCAGTTCTAGTTCAGTTCTAGTTCAGTTCTAGTTCAGTTCTAGTTCAGTTCTAGTTCAGTTCTAGTTCAGTTCTAGTTCAGTTCTAGTTCAGTTCTAGTCAGTTCTAGTTCAGTTAGTTCAGTTCTAGTTCAGTTCTAGTTCAGTTCTAGTTCAGTCTAGTTTCAGTTCTAGTTCAGTTCTAGTTCAGTTCTAGTTCAGTTCTAGTTCAGTTCTAGTTCAGTTCTAGTTCAGTTCTAGTTCAGTTCTAGTTCAGTTCTAGTTCAGTTCTAGTTCAGTTCTAGTTCAGTTCTAGTCAGTTTCTAGTTCAGTTCTAGTTCAGTTCTAGTTCAGTTCTAGTTCAGTTCTAGTTCAGTTCTAGTTCAGTTCTAGTTCAGTTCTAGTTCAGTTCTAGTTCAGTTCTAGTTCAGTTCTAGTTCCAGTGTCTAGTTCAGTTCTAGTTCAGTTCTAGTTCAGTTCGAGTCAGTTCTAGTTCGTTCTAGTTCAGTTCCTAGTTTCAGTTCTAGTTCAGTTCTAGTTCAGTTCTAGTTCAGTTCCTAGTTCAGTTCAGTAGTTCAGTTCTAGTTTCAGTTCTAGTTCAGTTCTAGTTCAGTTCTAGTTCAGTTCTAGTTCAGGTTTCTAGTTCAGTTATAGTTCAGTTCTAGTTCAGTTCTAGTTCAGTTCTAGTTCAGTTCTAGTTCAGTTCTAGTTCAGTTCTAGTTCAGTTCTAGTTCAGTTCTAGTTCAGTTCTAGTTCAGTTCTAGTTCAGTTCTAGTTCAGTTCTAGTTCAGTTCTAGTTCAGTTCTAGTTCAGTTCTAGTTCAGTTCTAGTTCAGTTCTAGTTCAGTTCTAGTTCAGTTCTAGTTCAGTTCTAGTTCAGTTCTAGTTCAGTTCTAGTTCAGTTCTAGTTCAGTTCTAGTTCAGTTCTAGTTCAGTTCTAGTTCAGTTCTAGTTCAGTTCTAGTTCAGTTCTAGTTCAGTTCTAGTTCAGTTCTAGTTCAGTTCTAGTTCAGTTCTAGTTCAGTTCTAGTTCAGTTCTAGTTCAGTTCTAGTTCAGTTCTAGTTCAGTTCATAGTTCAGTTCTAGTTCAGTTCTAGTTCAGTTCTAGTTCAGTTCTAGTTCAGTTCTAGTTCAGTTCTAGTTCAGTTCTAGTTCAGTTCTAGTTCAGTTCTAGTTCAGTTCTAGTTCAGTTCTAGTTCAGTTCTAGTCAGTTCTAGTTCAGTTCTAGTTCAGTTCCAGTTCAGTTCTAGTTCAGTTCTAGTTCAGTTCTAGTTCAGTTCTAGTTCAGTTCTAGTTCAGTTCTAGTTCAGTTCCAGTTCAGTTCTAGTTCAGTTCTAGTTCAGTTCTAGTTCAGTTCTAGTTCAGTTCTAGTTCAGTTCTAGTTCATTCTAGTTCAGTTCTAGTTCAGTTCTAGTTCAGTTCTAGTTCAGTTCCAGTTCAGTTCTAGTTCAGTTCTAGTCAGTTCTAGTTCAGTTCTAGTTCAGTTCTAGTTCAGTTCTAGTTCAGTTCTAGTTCAGTTCTAGTTCAGTTCTAGTTCAGTTCTAGTTCAGTTCTAGTTCAGTTCTAGTTCAGTTCTAGTTCAGTTCTAGTTCAGTTCTAGTTCAGTTCCAGTTCAGTTCTAGTTCAGTTCTAGTTCAGTTCTAGTTCAGTTCTAGTTCAGTTCTAGTTCAGTTCTAGTTCAGTTCTAGTTCAGTTTAGTTCAGTTCTAGTTCAGTTCTAGTTCAGTTCTAGTTCAGTTCTAGTTCAGTTCTAGTTCAGTTCTAGTTCAGTTCTAGTTCAGTTCTAGTTCAGTTCTAGTTCAGTTCTAGTTCAGTTCTAGTTCAGTTCTAGTTCAGTTCTAGTTCAGTTCTAGTTCAGTTCTAGTTCAGTTCTAGTTCAGTTCTAGTTCAGTTCTAGTTCAGTTCTAGTTCAGTTCTAGTTCAGTTCTAGTTCTAGTTCAGTTCTAGTTCTAGTTCAGTTCTAGTTCATTTCTAGTTCTGTTCTAGTTCTGTTCTGTTCTGTTCTAGTTCTGTTCTAGTTCTGTTCTAGTTCTGTTCTAGTTCTGTTCTAGTTCTAGTTCTGTTCTAGTTCTAGTTCTGTTCTAGTTCTGCTCTAGTTCTGTTCTAGTTCTGTTATGTTGTAGTTCTTTTCTAGTTCTATTCTAGTTCTGTTCTAGTTCTGTTCTAGTTCTGTTCTAGTTCTGTTCAAGATCTGCTCTAGTTCTGTTTGAGGCCTAGTTCTGTTCTAGTTTTGCTCGAGTTGTAAAAAATGTTTTGTTGTTCTCATATTTGTCATACATCCATATGTATCTGTTTAGGATTCAGTCGGAAAAGAACTGCAATACAACAGATTTTAACAATAGTTTATTGGTCTAAATTTCTATGGAATTTTTAACTTGATAATTTTAGAAATTCTTAGGAATTCTAATTTTAATGGAATATATAATCAAATACAATATGTAAACACATACATACAATTATTTGTATATCCTTTTGAAATCTATTTTTTCTTTCTATGAGTCTAAATTTAGTATGAAAAATATGTTTAAGAAATGAAATTCTAAAGAATCTTGAAAATTTTAATGAAAGTAATGTGGGTTTTATTCGATGCAATGCAAAGAACAATATTTTATGAAATTTACGAAATTAAATGGTAACGAATCAAAAGGAATATTAAAGAAATTAAAAAAATATTAAGGATATTTCTTTAAGAGCTTAACAAGGGAAAAAAATGACTTTCACCTAACTATTTAGAATACCAGTTTTACATTTTAGTTTTAAACGATTTGCCTCAAGAAGATAAACCACCCTAATATTTAAATTATATCTATGTATATGTATGTACGAATATTGACTTAAAAACCCATTGTTATAAATCATTTGGTTGCCAGTACTATACCAACCATTCTCCCACCATATGGCAAATAGGAAAATTATATCATATTTTATTATCATGATTGTTATTTTAGTATTTCTTTTTTCTTTTCAATTTTATAGACAAAACAGGTTACACATACAGATGGCCTTAAAGTACAAGCTTTAATCCTTAAAACAACAACAACAGTATAACGAAATGTTGCTGTGTTACCAATATTAAATTTAAGCTAAAAGAAGCCAACAATAACAAAAACTCTTAGGAAGTTTTTTTTTTAACTAAAGATGTGCAGATACAAGACTTTCACATCCCCATTTAAACAACCCCACACACCTCTCCCTCTTGTAATATAATAGAAATTGAGACGAAACAATAAAATATAACATTGTTTTTGTAAAAAGGGATTTTCCATTAGTCTTGTTGAGCCAAGGGATTTCAATACATCCCCACATACCGGAACATTTATAAATAGGAAAGAAAAATAAGTTGGAGTTCTTATCGAAGTCAAAATTTATATGCCCCTAACTTTAGGAACTTTATGGGGATTTGGATAGAAGTTTCTTAGAAACTATAAACCGATTCCAAATTGATATTATTTAGAAATATATGTAACATCCATGTAATTGTTAAGGTAACTTTTCAAAAAGAATAGTTAACAATTATAAACGTAATAACAAATGGTACTTTTTGCAATAGTACTTTCCACAAAGAATTGAGAATATATTGCAATTTTTTATCCTTTTTTATCGTATTTTTTGGAATTTTACAAAAAGCCAACAATACAAAACATTCAGAAAAACAAAAACATTCCAACCAATTCAAAGAAATTGTAACAGGATTGCATGAAACAACAATAAATGTAAATGTCCTGGCAAAACATATACATTTACAACTACAAGTCTGTGTGAGTTTTTGCAATATAACTGACAGGCCTGTACAAAAAGTTCTATGCTGGAGTGATGGAGCAGAAGTCGTTAAAAGAAGATGAA